ATGCAATTTTTGCAAACGGTGGGTGCACTGCCGTTGTGACAAAGAGGTACCGAAATCATACTACCAGTTTATGAGAAATAACCCGTGCCCGTGGTTTTGGTACATCTGTCCACTCTGTCGCCCTGGTGTAGTCACACAGAGCGTGTCTGCGGTTAGCAGAAACAACACGCCGCCCTTGTGTCCCAACACGGTCTTATGTAGCTCCCCACCTGCTAACGTCACATTGCCAAAACTTGGCACAGACAGTAAGAAGGACACTCCTGTCCTACTGACCGAAAATGCCAATTTTCACAAGGTGAAGATTCATAAGGCTGGACCTAAAAAATCAAGGAAAGACAGAGTTAGAGAAGCACCACTTGCATCCACAAGCAAGCTTGGCAACACAATAAAGGCTGGTCAGAACCCGATGAAGCCTAAAGTTGCTGATGCTGCAAAGGAATATGAGAAGCCAAAGGCCAAACCTAAGTCTGAGGTTAATCGGTCTAATTCGCTCATCCTCTTTAACGTACCTGTGAGCAAGGACAGCTTGCTTGAACAGCGGGCCCTGTTTGATCAGGAACAGTGGTCCAACCCGTGCAATAAACTAGGTCTGAATATTAGTTCAGTGAAATTGTGCAGGCTGTACAGGGGTGTCCACACACCTCAAGGTAAGCCACCCCCATTACGGGTTACACTGGACTCTGCCGAAGAGGCCGAAAAGGTACTATTGATGGCTCAGGTACTAGCCATCGACAGAAGCTCTAACATAAGGGTGAGACAAGACAGACCATGGGCTGTCAGACAAATGGCAAGGGAGTCACCGGAACTTTTGCCTTCCACCTCTATGGTAGTGCACGGTGTCCCGGAGCTGGAAACGGGCACTGCCTGTGAAAAACACATGCATGACGTACAGCAGTGGAGATGGCTGTCGTCTCAGATGGCCCTTGGCGCTTCTGGAGCCATCTCCGTTTACCGACTACCTCGCCCCGCTCATCTCACACTGATTAGCTCCCCAAGGCTGCTTAGTGTCACATTCAACTCCCCAGAGCAGTTGGCCATAACACTTCAACGGTGGTATGAGATCAAGGGGAAATTGGGAGGAAACATCCGATGTTGCGAAAGCAGACCTCGAACCATAAGGAGGCAGCAAACTGAGGCTTTAATACGTCCCCAAGCTTCAGTGACACTCGAGCGATGCAGTTCTGAGAACAACAGTCTGTGCCACCCAAGTGTCCTGCCTAAATCCAAGGGAAAAAACCACAATGGGCCGGTTCCATCGGAACTGGCCAATTAGTCCCAACACTAAGTTCCCTACCAGCAGATAGCTTCACGTCAACTACCCCACAACACGCTGAGGTTGTAAGACTCACTGTCAGCTGCCTGTATAGCAATGTGAGGGGGCTGAGAGTAAAAATAGGTGAACTCCGAAATCTCCAAGCACACCTACAACTGAAAATAATCATTCTCACCGAAACATGGCTAACCCCCACTATCGCCGATAATGAAATCAGTATAGGTGATATGGTTTTGGTCAGGAGAGACAGGGATAATAAGGAAGGAGGGGGAGTTGCCATATACTTTGATAGGCAACTTAAATGTGTTCGCGCAACGGACCCACCACTTATTGAACTCCCAGACTCCATATGGTGTCATTTCACCGTAGGCCACACCAAGCATTTACTTGGTGGCATCTACCGATCTCCCACCTGTGGGGCAGAGCACAATCAGCTACTGCTCAGCACTATCACAGGGATACGAGACTTGGGCTATGACCAAATCACCATTGCTGGAGATTTCAATGCCCCATCACTGAACCTTGGCTCGGGGTATGCTAAGGGAAAATTCGGCCGAAATCTACTGCAAGCTATTCGGGACACGGGACTGACTGAGAATGTTGGAGACGACACTAGGTGGGGCCCTAGTGGAAAGTCATCAAAACTAGACTACATTCTAACTAGTGACCAACTACTCGTCGAAAAGGTCCAGGTCATGACTCCTCTAGGAAGTAGTGACCATGCAGTCATAGGTTTCGACCTCGTTCTCCGTGAGCACTTGCAGTGGGACGCTACGCAACCATGTCTGTGTTACAGCAAGGCTGACTACGCTGAAATGCGGAGGCTCTTGTTCGATGCAGACTGGCCCTTAGCATGGGATGAGCTGTCTGTGGATGAACACTGGGAAGCGGTAAAAAAGATTATTCATACAGCGATCTCGGATACCGTCCCTTTAGTCACAGCACAGCCAAAAAGAAAATCATCATGGTTAAAGAGAGGCACGCAGCGTATTCTGCAAGCAAAGAGGAAGGCTTGGTTTACGTGGCGCGTATCTGGAAGCCAGATCGACCATGATGCATACCTGGAACTCAGGAACCGGTGCAATGCAAGAGTCAGGAGGGACAGAAGGTCATTCCAGGCTAACCTTGCTAAAAAACTCCTGGCAAACCCGAAGAATTTGTACCGATTCATGTCGGAAAGGAAACCAACCAACCAAGGGGCTTGCGCCTTAGTAGGCCAAAACGGTCAATATCTCACTAGTCTGGAGATGGCTGAAACATTCAGTTTAGCCTTCGCCAAACAGCTAAACAGCAATGTGGGTATTACCGTTACGAACCAAAATGGTGGCATGACTATTTCACAGGAGGAAGACCAAATAGCCACCCCTCAAATAAACCCTGCAATAGTACTGAGAAAGCTGCAGCGACTTATACCTGGGAAGTCCCCAGGTTGTGATGACATCAGGCCATCTGTTCTGAAACAGTGCGCCGAAGCTCTCTGTAGGCCTTTATGCGACTTGTTCCAACACTCCATGGAATCGGGGAAACTGCCAAAGGAATGGAAAAGAAGCATCCTTTCTCCGATCTTCAAGGGTGGGGATAGGCAAAATCCCACCAGTTATAGACCAGTAGCTCTACTCCCAGTGGTATCGAAAGTACTGGAAAGTATTATTGATGATCACATCAGGGAATATCTGGATAGGTCTAAAATACTCCATGAAGCCCAACATGGTTTCAGGAAAGGAAGATCCTGCGTCACTAACTTATTATCAGCTTGGGACGATTGGACATCATGCTGGGATATGAATGTTCCTGTCCATGTGATCTTTCTAGACTTTGAGAAGGCATTTGACACTGTTCACCATGACCTTCTCCTACACAAAATAAGCCAGGTAGGTCTAGGTAAACCACTTCTGTCATGGTTGAAGGACTACCTAACTGAAAGGCAATTTTGCACCAAGGTCAACCGAGTCCGATCATCTTGGCACAGCTCGTCATCAGGAGTGTCGCAGGGTTCTATCCTGGGACCACTGATGTTCTTGATTTTTATCAATGATTTACCATGCCGTCTAAACTGCCCGACTCTTCTATACGCTGATGACGTAAAGATATGGAGGGCGGTAAAGTGTCCGGAGGACTCAGATAGGCTGCAGGCAGATCTAAGGCTTCTGGAAGACTGGGCGGTAACCAGTGGAATGACTTTCAACCTGAAAAAGTGCAAAGTAGTGAAGTTACGCACCTGTAGACTGCAGAATGCAAGTTACACCCTGTGCAATGAAAGCTTGTCCTGCTCAACGTCGGAACGTGACTTAGGTCTAGTTCTAACGGAGAAAATGGACACAAGCGTGAATTACACGGGGGATGTAGCGAGGGCATATGCGGTCATACACTTTACACATAGACAATTAGGTGCACTCACTCCTGAGCTCTTTCTAAGGTTGTATAAAACATACGTCAGACCGCATCTTGAAGTGCATAATATCATTGCACCCCCACTGCTTAAAAGAGACGCCAACCTCTTGGAAAGAGCCCAACGACGGGCAACAAAAGGAGTGGTTGGACTCCGAAATAAACCATATGACGAAAGGCTGAAGAAATTAGGCCTATTCACACTCAGTTACCGTCGCCTGAGGGGGGATTTAATTACTGCCTACAAAATAACAAATGATCAGAATCACCCGAACAAAGGTGTTCTGCCATTGAGTAGGTATAGGCTCCCTCGTGGAAATCCCAGAAGGATAGCTCATCAGAGGGCAAGGACCCGGGTGCGCTCCCACTTCTTTTCCCTGCGGGTTTGCCGTCCCTGGAATTCCTTACCGGCAGATGTAGCTATGGCACCATCTGTGGACGCCTTTAAGCGAAGGCTGGACAACCTTGCAGTGACACAAGGACTGTATCCAAATGGCCTATCCCCTTAAAATCGCATATACCATTCAAAGATAGACAATTAAACTGGTCGTTTTACTTCTTCACATTCCCTTCAGTCTTACTCTCCTGACAGCTTTAACTACACTTATTATTATTATTGTTATTATTATTATTATCATTATTACTGGTATATATATATATATATATATATGTATACCGGTTGACTGACTGTTGTTACGTTTTCTTATTTTTTTTTCTCTGTCTGTTAGTCTGAATACCTTTACTAATTATATCTATTATTATTATTATCTCTTTTCCATTGACGACGATACCGAAAGACTAACTGGTGAAAGGATCAACTCCATTCACAGTAGTAACAGTCTTAACACACTTCATACTACAGACGCCATATAATTAATCCCAGCACTACTCCTGTTGGAGTCAACCAAAGCTACGACAGTCGAGTGGCGGGACGAGCTACACAGACGTTTACCGAAGATCAGGAACCTCTACCTTACAATCAAGAGGCGAGCGCAAAGAAATCAAATTGGTTTATACTAGCTCGTAAAAAGATATTGGATATTGGAAATGAGGGTTTTCCTAGTGATACGAAGTCTGCAACTACTAGAAGTGACACCGCCCTGGTACTATCTTTATATTCTCTATCTATCTATCTATCTATCAATCGAGTAAACAAAAGTACCCCGTCTTACTGCATACAGCACAGACGCATCAGCAGAAGAGGCGGACATTTATACGAGTAGCGAAAGATCTAACAGCAACAAGCTCCGGGAAACCACAAAAATTATACAAACTCATCATAAAGACAGCGGATTTTTTAAAAATAGTTCTCACGTCAAACAGAAAGAACTAGCATTGAGCAGGCTAAGTTATATTTTGAATGACCATGCACTGTGTTATCCAAGCATTATGTTATCCATATCTGCACAAAACATATTGGTCAAAAAAGCTTGTTTAAATACGTCAAAACATGTTGCTACTATAATTACATTCAAGACACCGATTGAATTATTGTGAAATATAATGGAGGAACAGGTCATCAAAAAAATTGAGGATAACAGAAGGATACATACTTATCCACTGTTAAAAGTAAGACAATTAATTTAACATCATATTCAAAGCACAAAACTTACATTTGATGGCCATGCCTTTATATAATAATAATAATTTGCTTTATTCCAAAACAGTACTTGTGATACAGAATATAATTCTCAGCATTTTTACTACAGTATTGCATCCAGTTAGTACATTATCGATCGACAGAATTCTACATACATTAAGGAAATCTTAGTTCATTATGACAACAACATATTGGCATGTCGGTAGCAAATGTAAAGCTGAACAGTGTTTGAAGGTGTTAGAAAAGTAGGTGCATATATATATATATATATATATGAACCAGTCATTACAACAGTAGTAATAGCCGGCTTTTCTCAAAACTGCTTCTGTGGCATTTACATGGTATTCTCAGCATTTGGTACAATGTTGCACTTATTTCACTAAAAAGCTTTACGTGGCATATGTAAAAAAATTGCTAACAGCAACGTCTATGCATATGTATATATATATACATAAGCGCATGAGAACATCTACTTAGCTAGTTGTGAGTAGTTGTGTTGCATCTAGGATACCTTTGGTGCATTAAAATATCCACAAATTTTCCTCATAAAGCCAAGACGTTTTTTTTACCTGAATTACTTTCTCTATCGTGATACCGGTTAGAAAATAACAGGACGGTAGTGGTGAAGATCTGTAGGTCAGATAGATGATTTTGACTTAGTTGTGTCTTCTGAGCTGGTTGGTTTGATTGCGAAGCTTTTTTCGTCCTTATAGATAATTAACATCTTCATCTCAGGTTTTAGTATGAGACCTACTTTCCCAATGATGTGAGCTTGGGTAGCAACTGTGGGAAATATAGTGTCTCACTTCTTTTTAAACATTGTTATTTGATATTGTAGTCACCTGAATTAAAATTGTCGGAGATTTTGAAGAGGGAATTAAGGGATTTTATAGGGTTGTTTTCGTCATCCAAGTGTTGCATTTGCCTCAGAGTTTCCCATTGTTTTGCCCTTTAACGTTTCACTTGGGCTGTGAGTTTTTGAAATAAAATTAAATTCAAATATTGAGTCAGTACAAACAAAATATGCATATGGTAAATAAACATGTCTTCAGGCAGTCTACAAAAGCTCAACCTCCTTCCCATTTAATATTTTTATAATAGCATAGTGATATGAATGAAGATATGCAAACTGAAGTAATGGAATTGTGTGTAACTGCATGCGAAAAATTTTCAACTGATAACGAAGTGAGTTGTTAACGCATATTTAATTTACCTTAATAAATTTCTATAATTAAATGAATTAAGCATCTGCATTTGCACTACCGTCAAGAGCTGTTTTATAAAACACTTCTGCATACAAAGGCGTACCAGCAATTACATTATCAACTACAACATCTATCCTTTTTATGAAAGCATTTTAGACTTGATTTTCTAAAGTGTTTACAGCGAACAAATAGCACTGTTAACTCCTTGTACATGTGAAGTTATCTGAATGTCCGATGATTCTCCAACCGGCAAAAATTAGTAGGCCTGCTGTTATTATTATTATTTTTATTGGTCGCTTGGGTTCCGAATGGAACATAGAGCTTCAACAACATATCTTCACTTTGTTCTACTTTCTACCATCCTCTTCATCTGAGTCCACGATTGCCCAAACTCTCATCTCTTCCTCATACGACCTCCTCCATATCACCCTCGCAGCGACGACCAACTCATCACTTCCCATTTGTATTCCACTCCAGCACCTGGTGCGCGATGCCACTTGACGATTTCCTCAATGTACGCCTGTTGTTAACACATATTTTTTACTGCGAACTGTTTACTTTGTCTTATAATAGGTTTTTTCTTAAAGTTAGAGAACCTTTTACTTTTCAGTTATGTTTTTAACTTTATATCATAAAGTTTTAACACTAATGTATGTTTTGTTGAGAAAACTTGTGTCTGTATCATTTGTTCTCGAAAATCAGTCAGTAGGATGCTGTATACATTGGTAAAACTCAACTCAGGCTAACAGGCAGTACGCAAGTGATGCTGAATAAACCTGATAAGCATTATAAATACACAGCAATAAAAAAATACACCTTCATGAAAGTAGGGAAAATCCTATTAGATAAACTTCCTAAAAACGACTTTAAACAACATTCTTAGGAAGCGTAAATGATGAAACTGTTAAATTTTACGAAAATGCATACTTATAAGTCTATTGCAGAGTCAGCTACCTAGAAATTTCTTTCGTATACTACCAAACGCCTTATTACGCTACAAACTCATTCATCACAAACAAAAAATGTGAACTACTTAAATACTTGTGTTGCATACTTATTTTAAAAACATGGCACAGAAAGGCAAACACAAAGATATCTTCACGGCACAACCTGCTCAAACTCTCTTCAGGTGACTATATCATCATACAGGAAGGTGTATAAAGGCAGGCTACATAACTTACATAATTTACACGTGTAATAACGATAGACTAGCCTAACCACTACGAAAAATAAAATCATGTTTTAAGCACGTTATTCATCACACGAGTGATCTACACGGTTTTACATTTCACGAATAGTTATCGCTTGCAAATAGCATTAATTCTTAACCCTTTGTCCAATTTATAGTTGAAATAGGAAGATATAAGTGTGAGAATGTCTCGCTTGTATACAACATTTAACTTTCCCCGAAAGACAAGGTTTGAATTTGAGAACTACTAATCTTGCTTTACTGATACTAACGTCTTATTCGTTATTTTATTCCATAATGTACATATGTAAATTAAAAGTCATTATTATTTTATCCTTCAATTAGGCAGCTTCACGTTTTGTAAAAGAGTCAATGGACAAAAAGTTTGGTGCAGCTTGGCATGTGGCCATTGGAGAAGGTTTCGGTTTTGAAATTACATATGATATCAAAAACATCCTGTACATGCTCTGTGGAGGGAATTTAGGCATAATTGTTTGGAAGTGTTGCTGATGATATGTGAATACCACAAAACGCAGTTGGAACAAGAGTCTGCGTAAGGATGAAAAAAGCATTTTTTCAAGAATTTCAATTTCCCAGAAAAGCCTCTCTGTGTGAAATTTTCAAACTTTTGCTACCATTCGGAGTTTCGCTAGGTGAAAATTAAGCGTAGTGATAAATTACCTCTTAAAAAATCTTTTTTCTAATTTTGTTCACTACCTTGAAATAATCATGTAACATTTTATATTCCCCTCACAAAATACAAAACTTCAATTGGTATAAACACTCTTTTATTTCAAATTAATGCAAGTTAACAACTTCACAGTACTTTGTAAAGCACGGAAATGGAGTATGTTTTCTAATACTACTTATAATGTCTTAGATAACTAAACGTTCAATTAGGGAGAAGTTACTAGCTAAACATAAGTAAAAAATCTGTTCATAAATAAAAGTGGGTTGAACTTTCCACTGTACCAAATAAGCTGACAATGCATGTAAATAATCTAAATTCATACTGAGTGGGACTAATAGTGTACTATAAGTCAATAGTCCGCCTGGTTAGTGTTGTTCGTGGATAAACCGAAGGACTTACCTGAAGGTAAAATGAAACCTTAGTCATAACTCTTTTAAGAGGAACAAAAATTGAAGAAAATAACATTCACACAACGCTAACCGAATTCATCACTGTCGACAATGATGTCCAAATAATGATAGCATGACTTTATAATCTCCAGGCGAATGAAGCTCATTCACAACACAAACGAAACTGCCAACTACTCACACGTAATGCCACGCACTCCATTAATTTACATATTTTATTAATCTCCCCCAAAAAACCGATACTACATTCCAAACCTTAGCCTGAAACGCATACCGACTAATCTAGTTTAACAAAGGCCACATCTAGTTTTTTAAGGCCTCGCTCAGAGCTGTATTTATAGTATGTGTTACCTGTGTTAAGTCAGCCGACAGTTCACAGTGACCAAAACTCTACCATATCGTGCACGGATGTATGCTGCTCTGAAGAAATTCTAATATATGCTCGAATTTAAGCTATTCGTTTAACCACAGAGTACTAGGGCTACAAGCAGCTTCATCTATATAAACACTGGTCTATGATTTCGATTATAAGCAAAGGTACAGTTTAGCATGCCGACCACTGACGTCAACTCAACAATAGATCATATCATCATCGGTTACAGCAAGGGGCATTCACAGAAGTACACTTCTTACCGTTCTTAAGCAAGCATTGATCAAGGTTTATAGTTTTACACAACTTACTGGTCATAGAAGGGCAATACAAAAACTCTCAAAACTTAACTTGAAAATAAGAATATCAAGAATACATCTAAAATAGTGTTGGATAGACAGCTGGAGGGATACTTCTTTTCATATCCTGAGACAGTGACACGTCTACATATACCAAAACTAACTGTATTTGTTCACAGCAGTTGATCATGGTGATCAACAGGTCTTATGACAGTATTCCGCTGGACAAGCACTGGAATCTTTTTCTCAGTAATTGCGTGGAGTATCGGATAAGGATATACGTATATTTTCACTCAGCGTCATAATGCTTGCAACACTGGTAATCCCTTAATCCATGTTTAGCTTAATAGAGCGGGGAAATCAATCAGATGAGCTAGATTAAGTAGATAGCATAGTCCTATTAAGCAAAGAATAAGATCCTCAGGATACTTCCATCAACCATTTTAATGTTTCGGATACATTTCCCACATCCAAATATCAAATCGTCACTTTAAGTCAACAGTGCACCGATATCTGATTAAATAATGACGGGCGTAGTATTTGGACGTGGTTAACGCTTGATTTATTCAAGGACCCTGATGAAATGAGAGTCGACAAAATCACAGTACGGATACAAGACTGTTTCGATTATCGCAGAAGTATTTGGCTTATGACAGGAATCATTTAGGTTCAAGTGTACCGGGCATTAACACTATTACCCAATATATGATCACGCAACATCATCACTGGAAGTACGTTAGTGATGAAGACTTTATTAAGTGGCTGTCACTGACATCATAGGGGATGGTTCACGTTTGATAAAGCCATCATACAAACAATTTAGGAAGTTAGATCTGCATCGATAAGTATATCGAAACACCAGGTTAAAAATGTCATCTACGACCACCAATCGTTTATATTTTTATGTTAGTATAAGTAGGATTGGTTTGTGAGAAAGTTAACTAGATACAGACACGGCATCAATCAATGAAGTGACTAAATGTTAACATGAGCAGTAAAGACTATCTGACTTAGATGTAATTGACTGCAAGAACTTATGTGTAAAGAACCAGATGTCGTCTATGAACAGATATAAATTGCAGCTAAGTGAAGAACAAAGTTTTTTTCTGATTAAGCCAGGCACAGTCGGTTTCAACGACTAATTTATCTACTCTTACCAGCATGTTACTCTTAACTTCAACGTATCACTTTTAGGAGAGTCAGAGAAGGTAAACGGTGATTCCAAAGTACATGACAAACCAACTAGCCCAAAACTTTATAGTCTGGAGAAAATATCTCAATGCTGTAGGGAACAAGAAAGTAGATACGGATCATTTACTCCGATATGAGAAATAACTTCTTAACGATAATGACAGTGGAAAGAAAGTGAAGTAGAAAAAAAATAAACTATAAGCACTATACGAAAACACGACATAGCCCTCATGTCAGTTGACGTACAATCAGCAGACAGAAACTATAAATAGGCACAGAAGCTTATCATTGTCTTTACCAGATGCAACAAGGCCTTTTCACTGTATCCGGCAAAATCATGTTATTGTCTGCAGTATTAGTTTAAATTAACACACGAAAATTAGATAACAATAGCATCTTGTTAAGGTAAAAATGAGTTATTTATCTAAATCCTTTAGTGATTACTGCTCAAGGGAAAATGTCACATAAACTACAACCGAAATGTGGAAAGAAAATCTCATAAATTTCATAAAAATGAATACAAACCACCGCTATGATTATCCCTTTTCTAGATGAGCAATACCGACCCTACTCCTTCATTTCGATTCATGCACATGAACTAACATTGTTTCACTGTAAAATGCTGCTACAGGACTGGGCTACGTCAACTCCCAGCTTAGTGATAGGGAGAGAAGTGATAGAACATGTTGACCACTTCATCTATTTGGGAAGTTGCATCAGCACAAACGGATTGATTGGTGACGAAATCTCAGCACGGATCCAAAAAGCTCGGGCTGCTTTCGCTAATTTACGCCATCTCTAGTGTAGGCGTGACATCCGGCTATCAACCAAGGCACGTGTGTACTGCTCAGCAGTTCGCTCCGTCCTTCTCTATGGCTCTGAAACATGGCCAATTCGAGTTGAAGACATGAAAAGGTTGTCTGTTTTTGATCATAGATGTTTACGATCTCTTTCTCGCGTTAGGTGGTATAATAAGGTAAGTAATGTTGACGTTAGGCGTAGTGTTGGGCAAAGAGGGAAAATCAATCGAAGAGGCTATAAAGTTACATAGATTGAGATGGCTAGGTCACGTGCTGCGCATGCCTAACCATCGCCTCCCCCGACGGGCATTACTAGCTCATATAGGTGCAGGTTGGAAAAGAGTAAGTGGTGACGAAACAAAAACATGGCCTCATCAATCCATGAAATCCCTGACAGTTAAACTGAGTCAGGTAGGGAAATGCAGACTTCCGGGTTGGGGCCCGCCCTCGGGACTCTAGGAATCAATGGCTGGAGACAATAGGTGACATGGCTCAAAATCGTTGTCAATGGCTTACGCAGATGTATTCAGTCTCTTTAACCTTCGTATTCCTTTCTACCATTACTCATTCTGTATCACTCTTATACTTGTCAAAACTCTATTGATTCTCTTCACTCATTTTCTTGTCTATCTTTGTGTGGTATTTGGAACGTGGTAACTCGAACTGCTGTACTTCGGTGCCAAGTTCCATGTTGAATCCAGCCAGCCAACTAACATTGTTTAACAAAACAGAGAATCGGAGAGAGAGAGAGAGAAAGGTATTTAACTTATTGAACTGGTAAATAATAAAAGGGAAATAAACTGTATTTAAGAAAAGAGTTTATATTCTCAACAAACTTTTATACAAATCAACACAAAGGTTAAAAAGTAAGTAAATACAATACAAGAATATTGTATCAATTGCAAAATGTTCGACAGGCATTATGTGTATATATACCCTTAAGCATTTACGACTTGTTTATTTCTATGTCAGCAATGAGAAGTCTGTAAACATTTAAAACCGAAGGACAGTAGACGGGTACGTTGGAATAGACAATTTTACAATACATATTCAACATGAGAAATAAGTACAAATGGTAACAGAATTGTGGAGGGATTTGTGTTTACGGTGTGTGTGTGTGTGTATGTATGTATGTGTTTTTCATTCGAGTGTATATAAAGACGAAACAATTACAAGGCGACCATAGTGTGAGCACAACGAAAAGCATGCACGTCTGTAAATTACTTGTATCTTAGTGTATATATGACGCTAATTTGAAGATAAAACAAAATGAAATTTCTTCTCCGGTATTTCCATATATATATTTAAGAAGATATTTCGATTGTACACATATGCCAAAGTGAATAAATCTTCTAGCCTATCGAACAAGCAATCACAGGGGTAGAGAAGAGTGGTAATGCACTATAATTTGGGTTATAGGTAATGGAGATTGTTTCAGGACATATAATGATACATTGGATCAGCATCGTCTCCTCTTTTAGGCTATAAAAAACAAACAAACAAAGTAAAACAAAAATGAATTAGCACGACTGAAGCTTACGGTGACAAGTGTTAACAAGCACAAGATTTCGGTTCAGGGTTTCCCCGACCGATAACTGCTACCTTGCCGTGGTGGTTGGGCTTGAATGCCGCAGTGACCCAACAAGCTGAACTGGCTGGGACTCATATCCCTGCAGGTCCTACCATGCCAGGAAGGTTGTTTGGATAGCGGTTAGACTAAAAGCAGTTACCATGGGGTACATGGGCTCCAGA